CTCCTGGCAAGTTACCTAACTTTTCTGATCCTCAGTTGGCTCATCTACAAAATGAAGAGGTTCACCTCAATGACCCCTAAGGTCCCTTCCAGTTCTAAAATAATGATCTTGAAGTGCTCATCTGTTCCTGACTTGGTACCTCTCCCTTTCCTCACCATTGATCCTTTCTTCCTCCTCTAGGAATGAGTTCCAGTAAAATGTAAACTCCTTGAGGGCAGGAACTGCTCAGTTTTTGTCTTCTTATCCACAGGGCCCAGCATAGTGCCTAGTACATAATAAGGCCTTTTAAAATGTTGGTTGAATTAAACTGGTTTGAAGATTTCAGATATCCTACTGTGGGGAAGCTGGTTCAGGCTACATCGGCTTTGGGGTTGTCAGCAGTGGTATACATTGCCTCCCCACCGCACTCCCGTCAGTCAATCTGGGACACTACTGTTGCTACCAGGCAAGCTGCCATGAGCCCAGCCTCATTATCACAGACTAACATATGTATATATATATATATATATATATATATATATATATATACACACACATACATATATATACACACACATATATATATATATATGAAAGACTATATAGATCTAGAATTGAAAAAGATCTTGGACACCATCTAGTCTGAAATCCTCATTTTGCATTTGAGGAACTGAGTCCCAAAGAAGTTAAATGATTTGCCTCAAAAAAAAAAAAAATCACACAACCATGAAGTGGAAGAGGAAAGATTCTAATCCAAGTCTTACGAGTCAGCTAGGTGGCATAGTGGATGGAATGCTGGGACTCAGAATCAGGAAGATCTGAGTTTGAATTCTGCCTCATATACTAGTTCTGTGACCCTGAGCAAGTCACTTTTAAACATTTCTGTGCCTCAGTTTTCTCACCTGTAAAATAGGGATACTAATAGCACCTGCCTTTTAGGGTTGTTGTAAGGATTAAATAAGATACCATATGAAAAATTCTTTGAAAACCTTTAAAGTACTATATCAATGCTTACTAGTATTATTATTATTATTCTGCATCCATATCCTGCCCACTTTGCATGATACTGAACCACTTCATTCTTAAAGGGCATCAGCATTCCCAGGCACTGTCTATGTAGGAAATCCCTTTACCTCCTTCCCCATCCCCCTTCCCCTTTCCCTTCCCTTCACCAAGGGAAAATCTCTGATATATTTCCACCTCTTGTCCTCCCCCTAGGTTCTTCTAGTCACTGGTTCCCTCCCATAGCTGACACCAAGAAGTTGAGTAATGCAGTGAGTAAGGAGCTGCAGCTGGCTGGGGGAGGAGGATGGCACCCAGCTAAGTTGATGGAGAGGGAAGAGAGACACTGGCTTCCTATGCAGTCAGACCTCCTCTTGTTCTCCTTCCCACTTCTGACCGGGACATTCTTTCCTCTCCCCCATATACCCTGGCGGGTACAAAGGGACCTGGCTGGGGACCAGAATAATGAGAGTGAACCAAGAGAGGTTCCCAGTGGGAAAGCATCAGACCTCAATGGCTCCCTTAAGACCTCATCACCATTTTGGATGAGAACAGACTCTTACATGCCCTGGCAGAAATAGGCATGGGACAGCCCTAGAGACGTGTTTGGGGTCCTGAGGCTGAGGACTCAAGGAAGGGACTATAGTCCGTGACAGATGAGGATAGATTGAAAAGACACATTTAGTGGGAAAAATGCTGAATTTGGAGTCAGTCAATGTTTAAATCCAAGTTCGAATACATGGCAATGCTTCTTTTTTTATTTTCTCGTTTTGTATTTAAGTGTAAAATAAAAAAGCTTTTACAAATAAATAAATAAATCCCACTTCCACCACCTGTGTGACTTTAAGCAAATCACTTAACCTCTTCGGGCCTCAGTTTACCCAACTACAAAATGAGAAACTTGGACTAAATTGTCATTAAGCTCCCTTACAGTTCTTAATCTATGAACCTATAAATAGAAGATGTTTCCCCTAGAGAAGAGAAGACGCAGGGGGACTTACTAGCTATCTTCAAGTTATTTGAAGGTCAGTCATGTGAGAAACATATCTAAGGCGAAACTAAAAGCAGTGGGTAGAAGCTGCCAGTAGGTAAACTTAGTCTTAATGTCTGGGGAAATTTCCCAACAACCAGAGGCGTCTTAAAGGAGGGTAGGATATCTTGGAAGGCAGAGGGCTCCCCTTCCTTGGAGGACTTCAAGTGGGAATTAAATGACTGCTTGAGGGGGACATTAGAGTGGGGGATTCCTTTTTGGTATCAGTTGGAGGACATGACTCCTAGGGTCCATTCCAACTCAGACATTCTATGACTAAGTGAAATTAACATGAAGAAGTGACCTCATAGTTAGATGGCATCATGGCGTAGTCTGTGACGCGATAAACATTTATGAAGCACCTATGGTGTGCCAAACTGAGGGGGTCAGTCAATAAACATTTATTAAGCACCTCTGGTGTGCTAAGCTGGTGATACAAAGAGAAGCAAAAGAGAGTTTCTGCCCTCAAAGAGCTCACAATATAATGGGGAAGGGTGAATACTACCAGCATTTATTCAGGGAGGATCTGCTTCGAATCCCACCACTGGCAGTTAAAAGTGTGTGTGACCATGGGCAAGTCACTCTTGCCCTCTCAGTTTGAGTTCCCCCATCTGTAAAATGGGGGATACCTACCTCACAGGGTTGCCATGAGGTTCGAATGAGATAATGCATGAGAACTGCTTTGAAAAACCTTTAAGTATTATGGAAGGAGAGCTGCAGCTGGCTGGGGGAGGAGGGCGGCAACCAGCTAAGCTGATGAAGGGGAAAGAAACTCATTATTATGGGCAGGACAGGCTGCATTTTGACCCACTGAGAAAATCAGTACCAGCTTACAATCCTTCTTAGGCTCTGGATAATCAAGTTGTAGACCCAAGAAGAATGAAATAAACTCCCTCTCTTTTCTGTTCCCATTGGCTCAATTTCACATCCTGGACTCCTCAGCGTAGTGTCATGAAGTGTGCTCCATTTGGGGTCAGAGGGCCTAGGTTCAAATGCTGCCTTTGCCGTTCACTGCCCATGTCACCCGGGGAAATCCCAGCACCTCTCTGGGATGCAGTAAAATGAAGGGGTCAGACTAGATGTCCCCCAAGGTCCCTCCCAGCTCTAAATTTATTACCTTGTGATACTAATGATAGCTACTATTTACATAGTACTTTAAGGTTTGCAATGGACTTTATGTATGTTAGGTCATTTGGTCAACCATTGTTCTCTGAGCTGTATGTTCAGGTAGAGAGAGCCACGAGCTCAGAGTCAGAGCTTTCGGGTGAGATCTCACCTCTCTCCCTTACTAGTTGTGTGACCCTGGGCAAATCATGTAACCTCTCTGGGCCTCAGTTTCTCCATTTGTAAAATGAAGGGGTTGGACTAGATGCCCTCCAGGGTCCTTTCCAACTCTACATCTCATTATATGATCCTCTTTCCACAGTGATTCCCATGATTTCTGTTCTCTCCTCAGTGTAACCTGACTTCTCTGTCTGGCTTGGACTGGCCCTAACTGTCATTGTTAAGTCATTCTTCAGTTGTCTCTGACTCTTCGTGACCCTATTTAGTGTTTTCTTGGCAAAGATACTGAAGTGGTTTGCCATTTCCTTCTCTAGCTCATTTTTCAGATGAGGAAACTGAGGCAAAGAGGGTTAAGTGACTTGCCTAGGGTCACACTGCTAGTAAGTGTCTGAGGCTGAATTTGAACTCAGGTCTTCCTGACCGTAGGCCTGGCTCTCTCTCTACATCTAGTTGTCCCAAACTCCTAGGGGTCCCCATCTGGGTGCATCTAGCTCTGCCTATACCTATGGCTCTCCCATTTATAACACCTCCTCACATCTCTCCCACCCCAGCCAAAGTGGAGAAGACCTTCCTCCTTTCCAAAGCAATTAACACAAGACGCGTCCAGCTTCTGAGCTCACGCAGTTTCACTAAATGGGAACAATCCTAATGATAATAAAATGGCACATTGAACATTCAAACATTGAGCAAGGTTTCTAAGCCAGTGCATCTCTCTCCAGTATCTCAGCTCCATCTTCCATAAGCACCTGACAATGCCCCTTAATGAGGGACCAGAGAGCCAGGCCTCTCAACAGAGCCAAGGACAGGATGAGGAAGGGGCAGAATACCTGGGAGTGATGGAGTTCTGGGGGAGGGGGGCTGAGGTACTGACAGCCTAATAGAAATTAGATCACACGGAAAATAAATCCAACAGCAGACTTAAATGTAATTAAGCACACATCGAGTCTTTGTCTTGATTTTAGAGGTTTTTGTGTGTTTCAGAGGTGGGGTGGAGGATGGGACTCAACAGCAGGATGATTAAGAGGTCATAGAGTCTGACCACATCATTTTACAAAGGAGGAAACTGAGGCCCAGAGATGGAGAGTGACTTGTCCAAGGCCAACAGCTAATAAGTGGTAGAGCTGAGACTCTATCCCATGATTTCTGGGTCTTCAGAAAATGAAGAATCCTAAAGCTGGAAAGAACTCCTAGACATCAGTCAATGGGCATTTATTATGCTCTTTTTATATGCCGGACACTGGAAATACAAAGGCAAAAAGAAACCAGTCCCTGCCCTTATGGACTTTATATTATAATGAGAGAAATAACGGGACACAAGAAAAGGAAATACAAAACGTGTATCAATCAACCCATAAGCATTTGCTATGTTCCTTTTGTGTAGGTACTGGGATCACAAAGACAAGAAGAATATGGTGCGTATTCAGAAGGAGCCTTGCCGATACCCCCATCCCCTTCTCTAGGAAAGCTGCATCAAAGCCAGCCTAGCTTTTGGAGGATTGTCCCTGCTCTCAAAGAGCAACAGAGAAGAAGATTCTCTCCACTCCTGTGGGCTTCTGGGCCTGCTCCTCTGCCTATTGAGAAATGGGTGTGCAGGATCCCTTCCTTCCAGCTCCAGGACGTCTGAACTACTTTTAGGGGCAGGATTAAGTGGTCATCCAGAGGGATAAGTGCGCCTAGATCAATCAAGAAAAATCGGAGACATGGATCACATCTCACTGTCCCTTAACCTGGGAAGTCCCCTTTAATCAGTGCGTTTTCAACTAATCAATCAATCTATAGACGTTTGTTAAGCGCCTACTATGTGCCAGGCACAGGGGTTACAGAGATGCTTTGTCCTGGTGCTTGAAGCGTCTAATTCGGAATGGAGTCAGATCATAGGACAGGGTTGACTCCGAGCTTAGCTCATACAGGACCTTCCCCACCACGGGGGACAGCTTGAAGCCGTGTCCTAGGGAAAGGAGAAAAGAGCATCAGCTGCTTTCAGAAACACAGGCTCCTTAAGACTGTAGTCTTCCGCCACCTATATGAGCAACTGACTATATTCCCTTCCCCCTCCCCGACAGAGCCAGAGATCGCTGTCCAACATGGTGGCTCCTCGCTCCTCTGACACCCCAGAGCCCAGGTGCTGTTGTTCTACATTACTGAGCCCTTGGAGCCCAATTTCCCAGTTCAGTACCTTGGAGAATGCCACTCTTCCTGACACCGGGCCAAAAAACAGGCCACCCTTCCACCCTCTCTGAATCACCCCAATCCTTTCCCCCAGTCCCCTCCTCCTCCCCTCCAACCTCACCTGAAAATCCAGCCCCAATGACGATGTTGGCATGTTTTGGGTGCCGATCCAAAATGAAATTATCGTCTGGGGTGTTCTGCAAGAATCATATATAGGGTAAATGCTGTTTAAGTCATCACAGTGCATGGGGTGGTGGAGGGAAATGCAGTATTTGATTCTGCAGGGAGAGGGGGTGGGCTAGGTTATTTTCTGGAGCAGAAGATTTCAGACTACCTTGGGCAGTGCAGGATTTCTTATCCCCAGCATCTTTGCTAACTTTGCCAAACTTCCCTGTGTGACCATCTGTCTGTCTTCTAATATAAGGCTCTGTACACAGTAGGTGCACGGTAAATGCTCATCAGCTAACTAATCGAGATGCTTCAGGCCCTGGTGACAGCTGTCACGTCTCTGTGTTCCTAAGACATGCCCAGCTGGGCAGCTTACCAATCAATCCTGGATGGGAGCTCGGGAGAATGCTGCAAGGGGCCGCCAGGGCTGGGCCTGGCTTATTAATGATAGATAGCAGTCATCCCCTGCGTGCCTCCCTCCGGTAGAGAAAAGCGGAGGGCCAGAGGGATTAAGTCACTGTCAGATATTAGGGGCTAAACAAGGTCAATGAAGACCAGCTTGGGGCTCCAGCCTTTGCCTCTCACCCTTTCTCCTCAGGAGGAAGCCCTGACTTCAGGGCCCCCAATGGGGCCCTTGCAGACCCCTTACCGTGTACATGCAGCATTCCATTATGGCAGGCTGAGGCTGCAGGCCGGGGAAGTAATCTCTCACAAAGCCGCTGAGGATCCGGACATCTGTTAGGTCTGGAGATGCTGAGGGGCAGTCCCGCTCATCTGGGTCGACTTTGTTACCATGGTGATAACAGATCTGGCACCCAATTGGGGCTGGCTTCAGAGAAGAGGGTCCGCCTCCCATGCAGACCCCACCCAGCTGAAGGGCTAGAGTTGCCCCAACACAGGCAGGGGCGAAATGGCTGAATTGCGCGCACACACACACACACACACACACACACACACACACACACCAGGCAGCACAATGACAATACTGGAGAAGCAATGTGGCACAGTAGGAAGATAGCTGGACCTGGAACCCCGAGGACCTGGGTTCTAATCCTGACTCTGTTCTTACTAGCTATGTGACCCTGGGCAAATTACTTCATCTCTCTGATCCTCCATTTCCACCCTACTAAAATGAGGGGCATCAAAGAATGTTTAAAGTTGGAAGGGACCTTAGGGATTTAATAATTGAGAGTCGGAAGGCATCTTCAGATAATCTGGCCTCGATGCCTCATTTAACAGACAAAGAGATTTGTCTCAATCGTAAAGGGAGTAAGGAGCAAAGTTAGAATTTGAACCCAGGATCTCTGCCCTCTGGAATTGAGTTTCTTTCCACTGCACCAAAGAGCTAAATAAGGTCCCTTCCAGCTCTAAATTCTAAGGCACTGGGATATGCATGAAGTAGTGGATAGGGCATTGGAAAACTCGAGTTCAAATCCCATTTCAGACATTTACTAGCTGTGTGACCCTGGGCAAGTCACTGTGCCTTGCTTTCCTCCTCTCTCAAGTGAGTGTTGGATTTGATGACTTTTGAGGTCCCTTCCAGCTCTTAATCTGTGATTCTATTTTATATGATAGGATGAGACATGAGTCCTTCTCATTGCTGCCAGAGGGAGATATCCAGATGCCCATCCTCATGGCCACCCTCTGTCTGGAGCCATGCCCCATCCTTTGAGGCTCTTGGAGAGAATGTCCTGGTCACAGAGCCCCAGGATAAGTGGGCATGGCTTCTGTGGGTAATGACGTGGTCTGCTGCCACTGCTCATGATCGTGGGGATAACATAGAAAAGGAAAGTATTGAAAGAAGTGGCCTCAGTCCTACCAGAATGGCAGAATCATTCTGTTCAGCCTTCATACTCACCTTCACCAGCCCTGGGTACTCTCTAGCAGGCAACCCATAGATGTGGTGGGGAATCAGGTCTGGGAATACTGCCACAAAGCATGGAAAGTTCTCTCCATAGGTCCCAGGGACCTTCTCTTTCCAATAACACACATTGATCCGAAGGGTCTAGGATAGAGGAGGGGAAGAAAGAGATGGTAGAGAAAGGGGGAAAACCTGAAGCAGCTGCTTCCAGGGAGAGAGAGAACATGGAAAGCATAAAGATGGGGTGGCAAGCCTCTTGTAGATGGGGCCTGACTTTTGGACTCTAAACTAATACGCCTCTGTTTGCATAAATAGTAGTAAATGCTTGTAGAACTGAAATGAATTATATACTTAGGTGCTTCCTTGTTCTCACTAGTATAGGTATTCCACTGGTGCAAATAGCAACCTCCCTTTTCTTTGGGTAATTCTTGTTCCTTTCTTTCCCCTAAAATCTTTCACAGTAAATCAGCTCAACCACAGGTGGCTTCTTCATTCACTATCTTTTTTTTTTCCTTTTTTTCTTTTTTTATTTTTAGGCAATTGGGGTTAAGTGACTTGCCCAGGGTCGCACAGCTAGTAAGTGTCAAGTGTTTGGTCTGAGGTCAGATTTGAACTCAGGTCCTCCTGCTTCAGGACCGGTGCTCTATCCACTGCGCCACCTAGCTGCCCCCTTCATTCACTATCAAAAGACATTGATGGGGGCAGCTAGGTGGCGCAGGAGATAGAGCACCGATCCTGAAGTCAGGGAGACCTGAGTTCAAATCTGGCCTCAGACCAAACACTTGACACATACTAGCTGTATGACCCTGGGCAAGTCACTTAACCCCAATTGCCTAAAAATTTTTTAAAAAATGAAAAAAAAAGACACTGACCATCACCCATGTCTAGAACACCCATCCCTCCTCACCTCTTCCTCTCAGAATCCCTGGTTCCCTTCAAAAGCCAGCTCAAGCACATCCTTCTAAATAGGGGTCCTCAACTTTGTATCCTGGACCTCTTGGGCAGACAGTCCAGTGAAGCCTACTGACCGCTTCTCACAATGATGTTTTTAAATGAATAAAATAAAACAAATAAATAAAATTACAAAAGAAACCAATTCTATTGAAAGTTATCAATAAAAAAACCCAGCACATTCCTAGATCCTGGGTTAAGAATATCTGTTAAACAAAGCCTGGTGCTGGTGCTGGTGCCCTTTCTCCCAACATTCCTTTGCATATACAGCTATCCCTTCCGCATGGAGACTTTCCCCATCGCAATTTTGATATATCGCGGGTCAGGGTAAGAAATTAAGAATTTGAGGGGAGTTTTGCAGAAGCCACAGACAATGTGCAAACAGTATGTTGGCACAGAAAAGGTTTAGAAACTCGAAAATGCATAAAATATGTGTATAATATTGTATAACATCAACATATTTTATCTTTTAATACCATAAATATACACAATTTCTTTTTTAAAGTTAAAATGTGACCAAATACTTAACCCAAATTTTACAATAAGGTGCTGTAAACATCCCATAAAAGAAAAAGAAAAAAATCAAACTTCACTGGTAAAAAATTTTAGGTGGATTTTCCAGATCACAGGGGCTCTGCACCCCTAGCCCCCGCGATGTGGAAGGGATAACTGTAGTTTGTATGTGCTCATATATGTGCATGTTGCGTACCCTGTAGAATTGTAAACTCCATGAGGGCAGGGACTGTTTTTGCATTTTCTTTGTTTCTCTAGCAATTACCCTTACAGGGCCTGGCACAGGGCAAGTGCTTACTAAATGCTTGTGCACTGACTGATGCCCAATAATCTTTCAGTCCCTGGGCCATCCATGCCAAAGCCCCTGTCTCCGTTCCTCTGCCTCCCACTTCCCCTCCCCTCCCCTGCCCAGGCTGTGTCATATTGGGCTGTCCCCACTTACCTGCAGAGGCAGTTGTATTCCCAGGGGGAGGAGAAGCTGGTTAGTCCAAGGACCTGCAGTAATTACCAAGCTCTTGGCTTGATAAGTGCTGGTGGTGGTTGTCACGGTAACTGGAAACCCGGGTTTTATCTCTGTTACTTTCTCCCCATCATGGATCACGCCTCCTAGCTGTCTGATTAAATCCTAAAAAGGGGAGAAAAAGGGAGGAGCGGGGAGGGGGAAAAAATGATAGACTAAGAGCCTAGAAGGGCCCTTAGAAAGACCCTCTTTGGTAGTCTGATGAAGCCTATGATCCCCTTCTCACAATAATGTTTTTAAATGCATAAAATAAAATACATAGGATTACAAAGGAAACCGATTCTATTGAAATATAGCTATCAAAATATATGTATTTTGTTTTTTTAGGCAATTGGGGTTAAGTGACTTGCCCAGGGTCACACAGCTAGTTAGTGACAAGTATTTGGTCTGAGACCGCATTTGAACTCAGGTCCTTCTGACTTCAGGGCCGGTGCTCTATCCACTGCACCACCTAGCTGCCCCTGAAACATATATATTTTAAAAACCAAGTTCTGAGACCCCAGGTTAAGAGCTTTTGATCTGATATTGACTCCTCCATCTAATAAATGATTTGCCCAGTCACATGGATTGAAAATGGTGGATACAGAATTAGAACCCAGGTTGTCTGACTCCAAATACAGTGGTTTTTCCACTACAAGATGCTCACCCCAATAGATCGGCTGGGGATATAAGGGACAGTCCTATGCTGGACTGGAAAGAGAGCTCAAAATCACAACTCTCTGCTGTGTCTACTGATTACGACACAATGCTGTGTCACTGATTATGAAAGGTGTGTCCCTTACATCATCCAGTCACCTGGGTCCCATGTTCTCAGGGAATGGCCTTGGTCTTTTGTAATAACGGTACTGTCCAATGGGAGCCAATTGGCACCCAGCACTTAATCCAGCACCTTCTCCCCTAGAACGCTGGGTCTGAGAGGGTTCTCCCTGGGCCCCCACCCCTCCTCCCACTCCCAACCCTTTCCCTGTCTCCCTCCAACACCCTGATCTTGTAAGGTATCACCTGCAGGGCCTTCAGTGCCTTGTCAGCACACAGGGCACCCCCAGATGGCTCCCAGATTCCCCCGTGTCCCGGGGGCAACCGAATATTTGGAAAACATCTCTTCAGCTCTTCAGGGTCGAAATACTTGTGTTCCACACCATGCTTAGACAAGGTGTCCAGCGTGGTGTGAAATTCTGCTTCTTCCTTCCTTCCCATCATCAGTATTCCTGTCTGCCTGTAGGGAGAAAGACAATTGGACAAGGGTAGGGTCCGAGGATCCTAAAGCTAGAGGGGAAAGGAAAATCTAGAGGATGTTTAGTACAAGCCTTGTATTTTCTAGAGGAGGACAGTGACTTCTCCAAGGTCACCCAGAGCCACAATTTAATCCCAGATTCTTGGAATCCAAATCCAATGCTCTTTCCACTTACTGCTCTGAGAAGTAGTTAGAAACTCAGAAATGCATAAAATACACGTATAGTATTGTATAACATCAACGTATTTTATCTTTTAGTACCATGGCCTCTCAGCTAGCACAACGCATCCTGCTACAGGCCATCATATTCCTTGTCCTGTCTTTTCTTCACTTTTGTCTTCTTGCCTCTCTCTCTCACCTAACTTGCCCTTTTTCTCCCACTCCCCTCTTTCTGTCTGTGTCTTGGCAGCTCTCTCACTGTCTCTTTCTCTCCATCTGCCTGTCTCTCTGTCTCTGTCCATCTGCCTCTCTCTGTTTCTCTCTGTGTCTCTCTCTGTCTCTGCTTGTCTGTCTGTGTCCGCCTGTCTCTCTGTCTCCCTCTCTCTGTGTCTCTCTGTCTCTCTGTGTCTCTGTTTGTCTCTCTCTGTCTCTGTCTCTATTTGTCTGTCTCTCTGTCTCTGTCTGTCTGCCTCTCTCTGTGTCTCTCTCTGTGTCTCTGTTTCTCTGTTTCTGTCTGTCTCTGTCTCTGTCTGTTCTGTCTGCCTGTCTCTCTGTCTGCCTGTCTCTCTGACTATCTCTCTGTCTCTGTCTCTCTCTCCATCTCTTTCCCCCTCTGAGTCCCATTATGTCTCCTCCTTGTCTACACATCCATCTTTTCATTGTTCGTTGATTTTATCTCTCGCTTCTCTCTGTGTGTCTGGGAGGCATTGTGGTCCATAATAGAAAGGGTACAAGGAAGGGCCTAGGTGTCAGGAGAACTAGGCTTTCTGACAGTAATTTGATGTCTGACCTTGTCATTTCCCCTCTCTGGGCCTCAGTTTCCTATTCTGTAAAATGAGAGGATCAGACTGGAAGCTCTTTCAGGTCCCCTCTAGCTCTGCCAATCCACAGCTCAGGATTTCGATTATCATTTCTCCCTGAATCTTTCTGTTTCCACGGCTTGCTAGCTCTCCTTTCTCAGAATGTCAGACTCTCTCTCTGACAGTTTCCCTCTCTCTCTCTCTCCAGCATTGTCTCTTGCTTCCCCTGTTTTTTGTAGGAATGGTTGGAGAAGGAGCTGGACTGCAGGGGATCAGGAGAAGCAGGGGGAATGGCACGGGGGGGTGTTGAGGGGGATCCTCCCCACACACCCCTTAGTCCCAGCAGCCTTGGTGACCACTGTCAGCTTGGCACATTCACCAGGTACGGAGCACAAAGCTGGTAATAGCCTATAATGGAGTCTCACGGATATTACATGCTTCCAAATCCCACATTATCTGGTCAGGGGGATTAAAGGGAAGATGGGGAAGGGCAGGGGAGGGGAAGAGACATGGTGGGGACCCTGGGGCTGGTGTCATACACAGAGCTTCGCAGTGTGCCCAATTCATTTGCCATGGCCCCTGCCTCCCTGGCATTCACCACTGACAGGAGGGAGACAGAAGGCTTTTCTCTGCACCTTCAAAGCTCATTGGTTCGAAGATAGTGGAGCAGCTGGAACGAAGAAAGAAATGAATCCTTCCTATGTGTGACCCCAAGGTGAGATGCTTCCTTCAAGTTGGTCCTCCCCAAGAAAACCCCCCTGGTCACCTCTGGGACCTTGGGCAAATTGCTTAACTCTCTGAGCCTCCGTTTTCTCGTCAGTAAAATGAAGGCTTTGAATAGATGACTTAGGATCATGGGACCTTATGTTGAGAGCTGGGAGGGCAATCTACGCCAGCCTCTCATTCTACAGAGGAGGAAACTGAGGCCCAGAGAGGTCACACAGGATCTAGAGCTTCCAGGGCTGTGAGAGAGTCGGACAAAGTGACCTTTGAGGTCCTTTCCAGTTCTAAGTCTACAATGCTGGTCAGCAAAGGCAACTAGGAAGACATTTCCACCCCATTCCGGCTGCCAAGTCCCTCATTGGCTTTGGAGATCATTAAGGAGCCCTTGCGTCTGACTTAAATCCTTCATGCTACAGTGTCAGCATACAAAACCTTTGGTTCCTAGTGCAGGTTGAGAATAGAAGGCGTGACCAGTCAGAGAAGGGCATGACCCGTGCCTCACCCGGGCTCTTGCCGAGGGTCTCATTGTTGGGTCTAGTTATAGGATTAGAGCTAGGAGGGACCTTGGATGTCATCTAGTCACACCCTTCACTCCCAGTTAAGGAAACTGAGACCTGGAGAGGGGGGATGACTTGCTTACATCCACCCAAGTATTAAGTAGTCAAATTGGGTCATGAAGCCAGGTTTTAAAAGATTTTTAAAATATATATGTGCATGGATGTATGGATGTGTGTACTATGTATGTATACACAGAGTCCATATATGTGTGTATACAGAGAATCCACACATATACACATACATGCATACACACATACACCTATACATACATATATACCTCTACATAAACACACACACACACGTGTGTGTGAGTGTGTGTGTGTGTATGTGTGTATGTATTCTCACTCAGCTTCTTTGACTCCAAAGCAAGTGCTCTTTCTACCAAACTAGGCTGTTTTCAACATCAGCCCAACTCTACACTGCAGCTTTAGGGTTGGCAAACCACCTTATACACGTTATCTCATTAGAGCTTCGCAGCACAGCACAGCTGCCTCCCTGCTTGACACCTGTGAGGCAGGTGCTACTACTAACCTCTTCATTTTTGCAGATGAACCAACCGAGGCTCAGCAAAATCAAATGACTTGCCCAGGGTCACTCAACTAGCAGACATCTGAATTGTCACTTGAACTCAGGTCTTTCTGGGTTCCTTATGACAAAACAGAAGCTCTAGAAAGCAGAGTTGGTTTCATTTTCATCTTTCTATGCCCAACATCTAGCACAGTGCTCGGCATGTGGCAGGTGATTAATAAACAGTCATTGATTGATTGATTGATACCTAATACCAGGTCTAAACCTTTACCCATTCTGTCACACTCTCTTGAATCAGAAGTAGGAAGTCACCACAAAACGGTGGGAAAGTATAGAACTATGAAGTGCCCGATGTCTTTCTAGTTCCCAAATTAGATGAAAAAGTAGAGGAAATCATATGCCCTCCCCCCGACACCATGGTGCAGCCATCGAGATGATTTGTAATCACTCCTCTCCAATTCTCTGCCCCCATGGCATTTACTCCTTATCCCAGCTATTGATCTAACAGTGGGAAATTTTCCATCTGAATTGGCCATGCCTGCCGCTCCTCCAGTCTGGAGCTGCATTTGGGAAATTCTCATTTTTCGTAGATCACGGCTGAGCTATTTGGCCTGGGGGAAATGGTGCACGGCTGAAGAAGACAGCTTGGATTGGAGAGAGATTTTTTTTTTTGACCGTTACGAGCAAATCGGAAATGAATGTAAAACACTGCCTGGAAATGCAAAGGCTTGTCATTATGGGAGATAGGTGAGAGTCTCCAGTGGGAAATATCTAGAGAATTGGAAACCAGTCAATCAAGACAGGGATCGGAAAAGGCCCAGCTTCCCCCCACCTCTCCTCACTCCACTATGAAGATAGATAATTTCCAGAGGCAGATTGAAAATCATTTAAGAGCTTATTTTCTTAATGGCCCTTCCTAGAGCCCAATAAACAGGCTGCCCATTTTGCATTAATTTCTTGTCCCCATGCTTCCTGGGACTCCTGGTCCACTCAGCTCTCTGTTATTGAGTTTTGGATGATCAGGAGAGGAAGGAACTTAGGCAGCTGGGGTAGGAGCCACTGTGGCTGACTGGGGACTGACGAGCTAAAGTTATCATGGAGAAGAAGGTCCCAGTAACGTCCAAGAATTGCCCTTCATCATCTAGCCAAAGTGGTCTGCTTACTGTCACTGATACATGAAATTCCACATCCTGCCCCGTGCCTTTGCCTAGGCTGTCCCCCATGCCAGGAGTGCCTTCCCTCATCACCTCTGACTCTTAAAATCTCTAGTTTCTTTTAAAACTCAACTCTTGCATTTAAAACTACATCCTACATTAGGCTTTTATTGACCCTCCACCAACTGCTCATGACTCCCCTGAAATTACCTTGTACTTGCTTTGAATATACTTATGTGTGTAGGGCAGTTAGGTGGTACAGTGGATAGAGTGCCAGCCCTGGAGTCAGGAGGACCTGAGTTCAAATCTATCCTCAGACACTTAGTATCTGTGTGACCCTGCGCAAGTCATTTAACCCTGTTGGCCCCAGTTCTTCATCTGTAAAAATGAGTTGGAGAAGGAAATGGCAAACCATTCCAGTATCTTTGCCAAGAAAATCCCAAATGGGGTCATGGAGAGTCAGACACGACTGAACAACCACAAAAATGAGGGGCTGGTTTTGGGGACCTCTAGGCTTCCTTCCAACTCTTAAATCTAGCCCCTATATTCATCACGCAGGTATGATAAATGTTGTTGGTTAATTGATGCCAGGACTATGGAGAGTGGCGAGGGGGAAGGGCCATTCCTGATTCCCCCTGACCCCCATCTCTCCTCACTGAGGCATAAACCATCCTCTCTCCCTACTACCAGGTAGCAAGAAAGTGATTGACAGCACCCCTGTGACCTGATCATAGAATGTCAGGATGGCGAGTGACCTTCAAAATTTTAACTGCTTCGTTTTCCAAAAGATAGAGTTGCCCTCACAAAGGAAGCATCTTGCCCAAGGTCACATGAGAAATAAAGAGCACAACTAGGGATTGTACCTGGGTCCTTTGGCAAGGTACACATTGCTCTCTGCCTCCCCCACCCCCAATCATTTTGCTAACACCTTTGTCACTGGGTAGGGTCAAGGGCCAAGTGTTTTCACCATTTGCTGGGGGCAGTCAGTAGCAGAAGGAAAGCAGGGAAAAGCAGAGAAGAGATTCAGTGAAAGAAGGGTTCAATTTCCTCCCGGGCCTCTCATGTCAGAATCCTGATCAATCTTCCTGGGGCTCTTTGGGACCTGGGCAACAATTCCCCTCAAACCTGTGCCCTGAGTGAAGGGGCAGGGGTGGTGGACAGGGAGCACATCTTTTATTGGGGGAGGGGAAAGATTGACATCTACCACAAATCCTGCAATTTGACGTGCCTGGGAATGTCCTCGCCTCGGCTACTCACTCCCTGGCCTCCCAGGCTACCCTCACATATCTCTAAGGCAGGCCTGCCCCTGCCTCCTTGCATCCTAGGCCCCTGTTCAGTCTGTACACCCATAGTTTGTTGAAATGAACAAAGTTGAGGGTGAGGGACAGAGCCAGATCTTGGGGTCACCTCTTAGTGCTTTCATTTCCTATTTATCCTGTGTAGAGCTTGATTTGCACATATTGTTTACATATTGTCTCCCTGTTCAATTGTAAGCTCCTTGAAGGCAGGGACTGTCTTTGTCTCTTTTTGTACCACCAATGCTTAGCACAGTGCCAGGCACATAGTAGGTGCTTACTAAATGTTTATGGATTGATCACTGACTATTAACCTCAAGGAAGTGGCTCGAGGAGAGAGTCGGAATCCAGCCCCCGCTGTCCCCAGCTTCTGGAGAGACTCCCATTCCCTCTGTTTCCCTCTCCAGCTCAGCGGGTTGAGGTGGCATCAGCTAACCAAGACTGCTCAGGGCGGGGGACTCGGATGACAAGGCAGACACTTCTGTAGACAGAGGAAGCTGCAGCTGCTGCCATGGGGGCCGCCGGCTTCTGCCTGCAGCTGTACTGCTTGAGGCTGTGATCTTGTCTGATATCTCCGCTAAGGAGGGGCAGCCGGGGTCAGGAGCAGGATGGTGGGCCTCAAAGGGAGAAGGCGGGGCAGCCGACAAGAACTGGGGCTTCTTCTCTCTGTCTCTGCTGCCTGGGGACACATCACAGAGCCTGGGCTCGCATTGATGATATCTGTGTCCCCACTGGTGGGCTGGAGGAGTCTGAGCGAGGTAAGGAGGGCCGATCTCTCGTCCCCACCCAGAGCTGGCAATGGGCAGTGGCAGCAGAGAGAGAGGAGCTGCCCCAGCTGAGGATTCTTAGTGGGCTTTATTCATTCATTCCCTCATTCAATGAAAGAAAGCCTGACATAACAGAGAAGAGTCGGGAGGACCTGGGCTCCCCCTCTGACATGCACTGGCTTCGTGACCCCAGGAGAGACCCCTCAACCTCTCAGTGCTCCAGAACCAGACTTGCCAAGAAGGCGCTGACCTGGATTAGCAGAGGGAATTTCCTCACCAGAGAGCTCTCTATAATAAGGAAATCACAAGTCCAGGCCTTATTCCATTCATTCAACAAGCCTTTATATGAAGGGCCTGCTTTAAAAAGCAATAGAACTGTCTCACTAAGGTTGATCAATAAATAAGCATTTATTAAGTGCTTACTATGTCCCACACACTGTGTGAAACTCTTTACAACTATTTGATCCTTACAACAGCCCTGGGAGGTAGGTGCAATTATTATTCCCATACAGATGACGAAACTGAGGCAAACAAAGATTAAGTGGTTTGCCAGGCGCTATGTTCAGTGCTATGATAATAATAATAACAGCTAACATTTCCATAGCCCTTACTATGTGATACCAGTCACCGTACTAAGCACTTTACAAATACTATCTTGATATGATTCTCACAACCACCTTGGGAGGTAGGGGATATCGTTTCCTTTTATAATTGGAGAAACTGAGGCAGACAGCTGATAAATGATTTGCCTCGGGTCACACAGCTAGCAAGTGTCTGGGGTTAGGTTTGAACTCAGGTCTTCCTGACTCTAGGTCCGTTGCACAACTATGCATATTAAATATGAATTAAGCTCATTTAGAGAAATAGTAAGATTTATCAACCAATCAACAATCAAATGCCTACTTTGTGTCAGACCAGACTGTGGATAGAAAGACAAAAGAAATAGACCCCACCTGCAAGCCCCTTGTGTTCTATGGAGGAAGGAGAGAGGGGAGAAAATATGGACATAGGATTATAAATTTAGCTCAGATCTGGCCAGACACTTACTAGCTCTGTGACCCTGAGCAAGTCACTTAACCCTGTTTGCCTCAGTTTCCTCAGCTGTAAAATGGCCCAGAGAAGGAAATGACAAACCACCCCAGTATCTTTGCCAAGAAAGCCACAAATGGGGTCACAAAGAGTCAGACAGGACCGAAACGATTGAATCACAACCCAGGTCCTCTGACCCTGAGGAGGCATCTCCAGTCCATTCTGGGCTCCCCCATTTCAGAAGACCAGGGGAGGGCCAGGGAGGGATCCAGAAGAAAGGCACAAAGATTTAGAAATGAAAGGCTTGGACAACATGAAGTATGAGAAAAAGGCGAAGGGATCTGGAGTGACTTTTAGCCTGAAAAGAGTGCTAGGAAATATCTGAGGATTGTACAGTGTACAGGGGAAAGTCATTTATCCACAGGGCAAGAAGCCTCTGTTTCCAACTTGACTGAGCTCCCATTAGTCTCCTGAAGCGACGGCATGAGGGATTTAAATTAGCTGTAAGTTAGGACTTCCTCATACTAGTAATAATTCTAGCCATCTTTATGACACTTGTAGGAGAGATCGTCTAGTGCTTTAGGCCCCAGAGGCAGATAGGTGGTACGATGGAGGAGAACACTGGGCCTGGAGTCAGAA